ACCACTTTTGCACAATCCAAATAAACCTTCTGATTTTTTTTTTTTTTTTGTCGCAGTTCCGACGCTTATTCATTTTCGAAATGCAGACAGCGAAAGTGAAACTTTTCAACCTCCACTTTTTAGACACTCATTCCTGGAGAAAACATTAATATTCAACAAAGTCGGATTCGCAACTGAACCATTCCAGATTTCCAACTATAACTCACCAAATATTGGTACCAAAAGAAACAATAATATCAAGTTGTGGTCATTTTAAATTAACAATGAAAATCAATGTTTTTAAATTTGGATTTTTTAATGTAACTATAACAACAAAAACATTTCGATTTCATGTTTGCGTTGAAAAAGTCGGCAAAATCTAAGATTTTTTTACTATTGTCATTTTATATCATATATATATATGTGTGTGTGTGTGTGTGTGTGTGTGTGTGTATGTATCATTATTATTATTTTATTATAAGATATTACAACAAAAACACTACACAATATATTTCGTGTTTCGGCACTACGCTGTGGTGCCTCTTCAGGGGATGGTAAGTGACTAGTGATTAAATAATGTTTAAGAAAATTTTCAAAACAAAGTGTTACCTCTACTTTGCTTTATTTTGTATTGAGCACTTTAAAAAAAAGTAAATCCTGTTCTTTTTCTTTTATTTTGACACAGACTTACAAACACAAACACACACACACACACACACACACACACATATATATATATATATATATATATATATATATTATTTTGTTTATTTATTATATGTTCATCGATATGTCATATATATTGAAAATATAATATAAACAACCAACTTGATATAAACAAAATTAATGTCTCCATTAAATTGTTTTATTGTAAGCAGATGCATCTTAATTATAAACAAGACTGTAATACTATTAAAATTATGATCCATCGGTATATAAAATGTTATAGATCTTAAAAAAAAATTAACTTGGATTTATATTATATTATATGATATCTATTTATATTATATCTATAATAAAAATTATATCTATTCTAAAAAATTCAAAAGCTCAAATCTAAATCCAATCTAAAAATCTATCCTATTCAAAAATATTGTTCTTCATGAATTCTTATGCCTCAAAGCTAAATGTATCTTAAACAAACAAAAATAAATTATTACCCTGGGTTAATTGTTATTTGTCAAAACTGTCAAAATTTTGTCCAATTCGCATATACATATATATATATATATATATATATATATATATATATATATATATAGATAGATAGATAGATAGATAGATAGATAGATAGATATATAATTTAGAATATTGGGCTGCAATACTAAGTTTCAAGGGTTGAACAAACTGAGCTATTTTTTTGCTTTGTTACCTCTCTTTTCCATTGTTATTTTTAGAGCGATTGTTTCCAGTCATTTTGATGGCCAATAGAGAAACCCTGAAATTTAATGACCTTATTCCGTTTCAAAATAAAAGCCTGTAAAAAAACGAACATTTAAAATTAATATACGACCCAAAAAGACTTAATGGTTTCACTGTAATTATGTAACTATAATGTAACGATATTCCGCAGGCAAATCTACATTTTATATTACCTTATCTCATTGCATGTTTAAAAAACATAAACGTAAATTGAGCTTGAAATATTGTGTAATCTACTCTAAACAGTTTGTAAAATACTTACATATGATATAATGATTAATTTGCAGTGAAAAGCAAATTTCACTTTTTTAATACGCCTCCTCTGTTATATATTATAAACATATATATATATATATATATATATATATATATATATATATATATATATATATATAATTTGTGTGTGTGTGTGTATACACGGAGAGAGAGATTTTATTTTATACTTGTAAATGGCAAATGTGATCTGAGGAACCAGGAAAAACCCCATTCCTGGGGAAATAAAATATAATCTATGGACCCTGAAGGTTGCCTGGGTTTTAATCTAACTATATATATATATATATATATATATATATATATATATATATATATATATATATATATATATATATATATAAGCAAATATATGGATATAGATCCGACAGTATGAAAAAAAAAACAAACAAAAATCTGAATATGCAATTATGTAGTATTAATGCTAATATAAAGTTGACGTCGGACGTTTCGGTCTATTTAAGACCATCTTCATGGACATCTGTATAAAATTTCAGTTATCTGTTTGGATTAGTTGGGCTCTTATGTCCATCGTCTTTTGTGTTAAATTTTTATAAGGTCTAATGTTAATTATGTTTAAATGAAAATGTCCATGAAGATGGTCTTAAATAGACCGAAACGTCCAACGTCGACTTTATATTAACATTAATACTACATAATTACATATTCAGATTTTTGTTTGTTTTTTCTGTATTTTTCTTTCATATGTATGTATGTATATATATACATTCACCTGACTAAGCCGTTTATAGTCATTCGCTATAATCGCACAGTAATATTCAATAAATATTGAGAGAGTTTCCATCTTCTTTTCTTGTCAATCAATTATTCAAAGTTTCCATTCAAATACTTATCGTTCTACAACTTCAACATTCGATATCGATCTTCTAACTGATAGCTGCAGAATCACGCTTAAAGCTGAGACAGAGATAATCAGACTTATCTTTCCACAAACACAAGCGCATGCGCACGTTGGATACACAAACACACGCTCATATATATATATATATATATATATATATTCATCAACATATAAATATGTAGATACGAACAAAATAAGGTAGATATGGCAGTTCACATCTACCTCAATATATATATATATATATATATATATATATATATACACAACGTATCTACTTGTGTAACGCGCCATCTCGAGCACCGTGTGACCCCAAAACCTTCACTTGCATAAAATGATTTCATCATGTATATTTGCGTGTTCTTTTTGGGGGAGACCAAATTACAATAGACTAAGCTCTTTTCCTCTGTCTCTTTATCCCATCTTTTTGTTAAATAAGTTAAAAAAAAGTAAAAGACAATGATAAAAGTATCGTCAGTAACGCTATATTCGTTTTTATAAATGTGTACTGCCATGAACAACCGAACTAGAAACAGCTAAACATCTTATAAACGTAAACCATGGAAAAGATGCATATTCGCCATGTTTGTATTTTATAATACGATACTAATATTTGAATATGACATGGATTATCGTTGGATAATTAAGAGATCAGTTTCATCAAAATCACATTATTCTAAATACAGATGTACTTTTTGACTACAGTAAATGGATATATAATTTGATCAACGCCGTCGCCTAAGACAGCAGTACATACGCTATCACGTGTATGATGTGACACCCACCTAAAATTAGCTCCAAAATTATGTCTTCAAAATTCCCATGATACGCGATATATATATATATATATATATATATATATATATATATATATATATATATATATGTGTGTGTGTGTGTGTGTGTGTGTGTTTGTAAAATACATTTATAAAATGCAACGGTATGAGGTCATCAGTAATGTTACCTTGCTTCATTACGGATTTCGGGGATATATATATATATATATATATATATTTATATATATATATATAGGCTGCATCAGATATGTATATATATTTAATTAATTGGTATCTTCATACCGTTTTATAAGCAGTTTTATGGACTTAAATATGTGGAGGTCTTAAATATTCGCTATTAGAGATAGGATGGATAGATTCTTTTTTTTAAGCATGACGCCCCGAGCAAGGTGTGAAGCCACTAGGATGCAGGGGGTTGCAGAAGATTTGGACCAAGAGCAGATAGGAGTGATAGAAGAAAGGATGAGGCGAGGGATAGTGGGTAGATCAAGGTAACTGGAGATGTTGATTGACATTACATTTGAATAGTTGGAGATTATAGCTCTCAGGGAAACAGTAATTGGGAAGGGTGTTCCGCAGGCGAGAGGTGCAAGGTATGAAGCTATTGGAGTAAAAGAGACGGCTATATTTAAAAGTTTCTACAGTATAAGGGTGGGAGCGGGATGCCAGCCTCGTAGGGCGCTTGAATTCATGAAGTCTGTGACACCCACCTAAAATTAGCGCCAAAATTACGTCTTATAAAATTCCCATGATACGCGAGTATATATATATATATATATATATATATATATATATATATATATATTGACCACTAATATTATCAATATATATATATATATATATATATATATATTGACCACTAATATTATCAATATATATATATATATATATATATATATATATATAGAGAGAGAGAGAGAGAGATTATATGTGCAGAAATGTAGCAAAGTGACTGACATATCTAAAATATAGGTATAAACTGATATATGATTTATCTTTCTATATATGTTGCAGTATCAATCTTTTTCTGTTCGTATCTCCATAGTTATATATTCATGAATACATATGTGTGCCTGCGTGTGATATATATATATATATATATATATATATATATATATATAGAGAGAGAGAGAAAGAAACAGACAGACAAAATAATGTATATATGCAGAAAGATAGCTGTGAATTGACTGACTGAGATAGATAGATAGATAGATAGATAGATAGATAGATAGATAGATAGATATAATATAGCAGGAATCGCAATCTCTTTCTAGAAGATTAAAACAAGCTGAACTTAGACTGAATTCATTTCACTTTAATCCGACAGTCATACAACTAACACCTGTTCCGCTTAAGCCGCCTCTTCTTGTGAAATGTCATGCCATTGTAGTCTTCATTATCTGCTCGTAAGCCGGGCGCAGGTGCTACTGAATCGCCGACAAATGCGAACCGCTTTCAAAGTTCAAATGACTGGCTCAAACGTCTTATATGCATCATTTTTCGACATTCTTAAACCTTCCTTATTGGTATCGCTTTCTGGCATGGTTTAACGCCATGTATATGCTCATATATAGAACCAGATATGAGTATACTTCTTTATTTAGTTTAGAGTGACTCGATTTTTATTTTTGCTCTCTTTTTCCCTGGACTGAATCTTACACGTTTAACATATCATATTCTGATGGCAGTGGGTTCGTTCCTAATTACAAAACTTTCTCGATTTTTGTCTTGGACTTTACGATTTGGAAACCTGGAACTGTTAAATAATATGGCTTGTTCAATTAAAACAGGTACATATTCCTGCTTACAAAATTACATTACGAATATTCTATTAGTAAATTATATTTTTAATTTTATTTCCGAAAAGATAATTAAACTGTATATATATATATATATATATATATATATATATATATATATATATATATATATATATATATATATATGTGTATGTGTGTGTCCGAGGATTGCAAAAGCGTGAAACCTAAGGTTACAAACTCATATCCATACAACTAAGTATCTTAGCACTATCACTCTATTGAGCGCTTTCCAATAAGTAACGCACATATATAATATATAATATATATATAAAACAGACACACACATATATACACACATATACATATTATATGTATATAAATATGTATATATATATATATATTTATGTATATACATACATATACACACATATATATATACATATTATATATATATATATATGCATATTATATATATACATATTATATATATACACATATATATATATATATATATATACTTATTATATATATGCATATATACATGCATATATATATATATTATATATACATATATATATATATATATTATATATATGCATATTATACACATAAATATACATATATATATATATATATATATATACATATACATATATATATATATATATATATATATATATATATATATATATATATATATATATATATATATATATATATATATATATTATAAATTAAGTAGTTTAAAATATGATTTTTTCAGTAACAGTAATAACCATGTTTCAAAAATGGAAGCTAAAAACTTCAAATTTAATTTTGTAATTAAATTAAAAATATTAGTTCCATTTCATCTTCAAGTGAATAAAAAATATCAATAAGAACACCGTATTATATATCTTACTGTTCTTTCTTTTATATATATATATATATATATATATATATATATATATATATATATGTTTGTGTACTTAGGCAGCAAATTCTCTTTTAGGCGTGTCCGATTGAGTAAATTACAAGCATTATTTTTTATCATAATCCTCTCATATTCACGAACATTTTTTCCGTATATTACCATTAAATAAGATAATGATCTCAGAAAGAGAGGTAAAGTACTTGGGAAATAAAAGTTATTCTCACCGTTACAGTGCATTTCTTGTCTTATTTCATAGAAAAAATATATATATGTGTCGGATACAGGTTCGATTCCTTTCGCAAGATACACATTTTCTATCTTTTACTTTCAGGCCGGTAAATGTTGTTTAATACTGTTTATTATAAACAGAGCATTCACTTAAATATTTGTATCTATAAAAATAACCTATAAACAGAATATATATATATATATATATATATATATATATATATATATATAGTTGTGTAATGAATAACAGCTGGTTTGGAATGAGAAATCGGAAAGGAGAGATAGAATTCCAGCCAAGTTTGTTACATGCGCAAATACCCATGGGTACTATATGAATCAATCTCTTGCTATGCCCTTAGCTATGGGTTACATAAGAGGGCAGACAGGGCTATTTAACCTTGGTTGACATTCAGCCTGAGTGAAGGCCAACGCTGAATTCAGCACCTCCGGAGGGTCATACGGAGACCTTGTGGCGCACTATGCGCGCCAGTTCTTTGTATTCGGTTCTCCACAAGCCATCATCAACAATATAATCAAAATCATATGTGCAGCTAGTTTGACTGCCCTCTTCTAAGATCTGAGCTGCTGGGCCCTCATATTTTGAAGAGAGAATCCATTATGCATACATACACACACACACGCATATATATATATATATATATATATATATATATATATATATATATATATGTGTGTATTTGGGTATGTGGTTTTATTCGAAAAAGTCAAGAGATTGATTGATTAGTTGTACCTCGGCGTTCATATGCATTATTCAAATGTGTCATATTGATAGAGTGTATAGAGCATAAAGCACAGGTCCCACAAGTTCATATATCAAGCATGTGTTAGTGCGTGCCTGCGTGCTTCTCTGTGTGTGTGTGTGTGTGAGAGAGAGAGAGAGAGAGAGAGAGAGAGAGAGAGTGAGTGCGCGCGTGCTCCGTCGCGCATGCGTGTAAAGTCCAGAAAATCTGTCTCGATTGCAGGAAAATATTCGATGTTGTTTTAATCACATAAATTACATGAATGTGTTTTTGTTTAATTTAACTATACAAAACGCAGTACTCAAATCTGTCCAACTAACCTATTCTACTAAATTTAAATTTTACTTTTATTTAATCATTTCGCCCTAAGTAAGGCAATAAAGCTACTAAGACACAAACGTTACTGATGCGATAAAAACACTATTAGAAAAAGTTTTAAAATTATAAAGGCACGAAAAATTTTTTTGCCGAAATTGGACTTGGAAGGGGTGTTGTTTAACATAAACGGAGAAATTTTAAACCATCACACGTCTGTTGACGACCTTTTTTGCTAATATACCTATTAATTTCAAGATATGTTAAACGTTTTGCGAAAGGAATTGCAGGTTTTAAAATGTATAAAACAAATCAAAATTAATGTTCAGTTGTAATCTTCCAAAACTTATGAAAATAGAAATTGAAAAACCTGAAACATTTCAGGATGATATGGAATAAACAATAACAACAAAGCCAATAAAAACGTAATACAATAATGATATAAACAGAGATGATGGAATAAACAATAACAACAAAGCCAATAAAAACGTAATACAATAATGATATTGTTGAAGCTTAAATAAGCATGGAATAATACAACACAAAATGTACGTTAACAAAATGTATTGAAACAAAGAATAGGTACACAATATTTACAGTTAGTTTGGTATATTCTTGGGAAGACTGTTCCTGCATAATGGGTTGACTAAATCGCAGTCGGGCAGAGTCTCTGGATTCAGTTTCTTAATCTCTACTATCTTCCCCGTCTTCCGGTACCAACCCATATTTATATGGTCGGTAGTCCGCTTATGTAAATTAGGTGTATCATACACAACAGATATAAACAGAGATGATGGAATAAACAATAACAACAAAGCCAATAAAAACGTAATACAATAATGATATAAACAGAGATGATGGAATAAACAATAACAACAAAGCCAATAAAAACGTAATACAATAATGATATAAACAGAGATGATGGAATAAACAATAACAACAAAGCCAATAAAAACGTAATACAATAATGATATAAAACAGAGATGATGGAATAAAACAATAACAACAAAGCCAATAAAAACGTAATACAATAATGATATAAACAGAGATGATGGAATAAACAATAACAACAAAGCCAATAAAAACGTAATACAATAATGATATAAACAGAGATGCTTTGTAATGAAAATAATAAGAATGTATAATGCTAGCTTTGATGTGGGGGTGCTAAACATAGAAACTGACACAATCGCTTGACAAGAAGCTTAAAAATTCAGAATGAACAATTGAAAGAAAATTTTCTGACACTACTTTTAACATACAGAAAGAGTGCAATACAATCAGCGAAGTGACAAAAATAAGTAATATGATAGAAGTAATTTAAATCTATAAGTTGGCGGGACGAAGAAGAAAACATATCACTTATAGAAGTTTGCTTGGTGGCTGCCAATGGCGCCCAGCGAACTCAGTAGAAAATGACCAGGAAATTGAAAGATGAAATATTGCCTCTTGCTTTTAAGCATTCAAAAGATAGCGAAAACAAGAACAGAGTATTTCCTCATAGACGGATTTGAGTAAGTCCTTTTTTTTTCCGGCAGTGATGTATGGAGATATATATATATATATATATATATATATATATATATATATATATATATATATATATGAAGGCAAAAGGAAAACTTTTCTTAGCCGCCAACGTTTCATAATTGGCCTTAAGAATATTTTTGAGCTGATTTAAATTTTTGAAAAACTAACGACATTTTTTTCTATTTATGAATACAACTTGTAGAACAAAATCCTGATATTTTACACCAGAGGACGAAACGTGTTGGTAAAAAAACATTTTTCCATTTTTTTTTACTCATTTACACACACACACACACACACACGCGCACACACACACACACACACACATATATATATATATATATATATATATATATATATATATATATATATATATATATGTCAATTCTGATATACTTTATTGCTATTCATAAAATAATCATATATATATATATATATATATATATATATATATATATATATATATATATATTAAATATACCTTATCAGACATAGAGCTTATGGAAATATAAAAGGGTACACTGAAGTCAAATCCAAAGGCTGACAATCTGTATCGTGATCGAACGCAATCTCCGGGAACTCTGGGTCCTTTTTGACCCATATATATATATATATATATATATATATATATATATATATATATATATATATATATATATATGTGCTGATTAATGATGTTTTTGATTATTTGTGTCTATTGTCTTTTAATGCTTATTAGGTGAGAGGTAACGGTTATAATTCAAATTATTCTAGAAGTTATTTAATAGAAATAATTATACATCTGAATGTGGTTATTTGTAGCTATTTTATAATGTTGTTTGTTAAATTTTTACTAATTATTTATTATTGATTACATTATTAACTGTTGCTTATTATGTAAAATTATTTACCAGGGGATGTCTAGTTTGTATGTTCTCATAATAATCATTTCTTACTTCCACCTCGCTAACAGCAATCTCAATCATAACACTCTACCTTGAGTGGCTCTTTTCCCAATGAATTGGGTAAACTAACAACAAGTTTAATTTAGAAAAAAACGTCTCGAAGAGGAACTTCTTCAGACTAGTAATGAATCATAGTATATGCAGTGTGTATAGAACAAATACAAGAAAGGCTAATTTAAATTTTACATTGAAAACACGAAACATAAAAGATCGCTTAGC